AACTTACACTTTGATCCTGCAGTACAATTAAAAATAAGAAGTTAATGCTACTGAATGGGGAAGGGGGGGCATCTGCCACTCACATGTCCTGGCTAGAAGCGAAAAAGCACATTCCCATTAGCAGGGTAAATTATTAAACCATTTCTCAATATGTTCCCCATAGGGGTGGCCAATAGAACCTCACCTCTTTATCTGTAAAGTGGTCAGAGTCTTATAGATGGGTCAATGATCTATTAAAATCCAACTAGTTGCATCAGCAGCTTTTGAGCTTTGCTAGGAACCCCGGCCGATTGTTGAAAGGGCTCTTACCACACTATTTGAACACAGGAAAGAAAGGGAGAAGAGGGAGAGGAAAAAAAAAAAAAAGGCCTTGCACAAGCATGTTAGTTAAGAGGAAGGCTTTTTACGTGCAGCCGTTGATGATCTGCTCTTGTTTGGGCCGTACTCTTTAGCATGTCTTTGTACTAGGGCTGTATGTTGTTTCGAAAATGACGTTGAACCGTAAGGCTTAAAGCCCGCTGAAACACACGCCGTGGAACGTCTCTTTAAAGCAGACAGATCTTCGTTTTTCAGGATTCCTGAAAAGGGAAAGATTAGGCTGTGCACTCTTTCCCATTCCAAACCTCTTATGAATCCTTTCTGAAGCATACCCGGTGCTCCAGGAGTTACACAGCCAAGTCTTAAATGCTGTGGGGTTCAATACAAGGCACATACAAAAAGATCGAAGAACAGAAGGCGAAGACAAAGAGACCACATCAAAGACACACTACAACAACATCAATTAACAATGGTTGAGGCTGCAGAAGAGCAAGACCCAGAACTTTACTTTGCATTGGAGGAGGAGGAGGAAGAGGAGGAGGAGGAGGAGTTAATATAACATTTATTTTTCTGCAATTATGATTACGGATCACTTCTCTGAACAGCCTGGATTACACCTTAGATAGAACTGTAAACTATATTTTACCAACGATAAGGCTGGGCTCACACATCGTAATTATTCAGAATTACAGAATTCACACTGTAACTTAGAGCCAGGGATGCTAGTGTTACTGCCAGCTGGTGTTGCTATACAGGAAGCGTGGAATTAGGTTTTAAATGGGCAGGTTACCACAAGCCACTGTAAAATGTGCAGCTATCTTGAGATCAAACTAATCGTTATTTCTTCAAACAACGGATAAGGATAGGCATCGAACTGGATACCTTTGCTCTTAAGCGCAGGTATGCTGAACACCTGGGTGCCATGAAAATAAAAATGAAGACATGGGTCACCTTGGCTATCCAGGGGGCAGGTGTAGCTAAAAACACAGCTAGGATATTCCAGTTTCTAACCGAAAAAATGATCAAGGGGCAGATTTTATAGGCTAACAAGCCATTTAACGAGATGTTCTACATTATCAACAGCGTGCAATCCACACAGCCTTTTTTAAAATTAAGCCCGTGTTGCAATTGCATCATTCTTCAAGTTTAATTTTCAGTTTGGTACTGCATAAAAAAAAGCTACAAAAGGGACTTAACATAATAAGCTGGTAATCCTTAGGGTATTTACTCATACATACCATGGAATATCTTTTGGGCACTCCCATGTGATTGCATTTCAAAGTTATTTATCTGGTTTACGTGACCACAAAACTGAATTCTCAGGACTAAGTCTTAGATCAATGGAAGAATGACTTTTTAAGAAATTCTTGAGGTTCAGTTCCTGACATTTCCTATATAAAGTCCCATGTCTGTTACCTTTAACTGAGTGAAATAGTGCATTAAAGGGCAAAACCTTTCCAGCCAACATATCTCAAACAGGCTAACGTTACAGAATGCCAGGACTTGTAACTCCCATGGGAATGAAACTCTCATGTTCCTTGACATCTTCCCATGAGTCAGTGGGGAAGTCTAGGAAGCTTGCAAGTTTAAAAAAAAAAATCAGTGGGGATCACACATGACCAGGCTGATGGCGGGAACACGGATTTGAACCTGCAATTTCTTTCCCTGGAAGCTTGTAGGACAAAGCCAATGGGGACCTTGCAGGAACCCAACTGATCACAGATTGTCTAGTCCAGTGGTTCTTAACCTGGGCGATATTGCCCCCCAGGGGGCGATTTCATTTTTCACTTTTTCATACAGTGAATTGCTGTATATCTGTCGTACAAAAACACCAGATCGCTCGCTATTAGTGGACTGAATTGTGTTTTCAAATGTTCCTCCAGCTAGCTTCAGTACAGAACGCCGTACATATGTGAATACGCATCGCTTATCTTCACGCGCGTTGCACAGCAGCCTCTACCCTTTTTATATTTCTTTTTGCGTCTTAAATTTCACTTGTAATTCAATCATTAAATGTTACTGTTTTTCTTTTCGGACATTTCACTGTCTTGCAATTGAATTTTGTTTTCAGTGGCCATTACATTTAAGTGTCTTAAATAAATAAGATAATAATGAAATACATGTATCGTGAAGTTTGGGAATAAAGTGACGGGTGGCACCAAAATTTTTCACACAGTGGAGATATGGGAAAAAGACTGGAAATAAACTATTTGCATCGATATGTCCTGGTGACAATTTTAAAGAAAATAAAACAACTTCCTCATTGGTTCAAGGGGGCGATTCATTCAAAAAGGTTAAGAACCACTGGCTCTAGTCTACAAAGAGAAGGCCCCGTAGCATGACCACATTTGACCCTGAAAAATGGCCCAGCATCAACTTCAATGGATCAACAACATTTCTATGGGAGAATTAAAAAAAAAAAAATAGGTCTGAAGGGAACCCTGTATGTTTTTGCCAATGTTTGCAAAAACAATGGAGGATGGTCATTTTCTGTCAAGGAGAAACTGTCTAGTTTAACGAAGAGAAGGACAAGGGGGGACATGATAGCAGTATTCCAATATCTCAGGGGCTGCCATAAAGAAGAGGGAATCAAGCTATTTTCCAAAGCACCTGAAGGCAGGACAAGAAGCAACGGGTGGAAACTAATCAAGGAGAGAAGCAACCTAGAACTAAGGAGAAACTTCCTGACAGTGAGAACAATTAATCAGTGGAACAGCCTGCCTCCAGAAGCATTAAATGCTCCAACACTGGAAGTTTTTAAGAAGAGACTGGACAGCCATTTGTCTGAAATGGTATAGGGTTTCCTGCCTGAGCAGGGGGTTGGATCAGATGACCTCCAAGGTCCCTTCCAACTTTATTATTATTATTATTATTATTATTATTATTATTATTATTATTATTATTATTATTATTATTATTATTATTGATCATCGCACAGTCAGTCAGATGTTCAGACTGGATTTGGCATTTTGTCTACCTATCGAGTCCTTACCCAGGACCTGGGATAGGCAGATGTGGATGTTTGATGGTATTACAGGTATCGTCGCAGGATGGAAGCAGTTCCTAATAAGGCCGCCTTATTATTATTATTATTATTATTATTATTATTATTATTATTATTATTATTATTATTACTATTAACTCAGAATTAAGGAGAAATTTCCTGACAGTGAAAACAATGAATCGTTGGAACGGTTTATCTTTGGAAGTTGTGGGTGCTCCAACACTGGAGGTTTTTAAAAATGAGTTTGGACAGCCAATTGTCTGGAATGGTGTAGGGTTTCCTGCCTGAGCAGGGGGTTGGACTAGAAGACCTCCAAGGTCCCTTCTAGTTATTCTGATATTGTTTCCTTTATCCTTCTAGTTATTTCCTCTTTTTTTCCCCCCAACTTTATCATCGAGTTCACTCTATGTTCTTTGTTGCTATCTATGTACTCCTTTATTGTTTTGGATAATTACAAGATGAAACTTCCAGGGCTACCCACAAGATATAGTTTCCTGATACTGAATCCTCTCACTTGAAAAGGATCTCTTTGTGAATGATGTGTGTTTGTACTTTCTTTCTGAATGTTTTGTGCAGATGCCGTTCAGGACAGGATCACCAATCCCACGCACTCAGACAAGATATCTCTCTCTCAAAATGATTCTTTTCATGTCCCAAACTTTCCTATAAAACACCTCCGTTCCTAGGAATGCCAACCAGATTCCAATAAAAATGGGAACTCAAGAAGTTAGGAAATAACAATTTTGCATTTCCGAGCAATCGACAAAGTAGATCGCTTTGTCCGAAATGTAAATACATTCCTTTGGCACAATCAAGAAAGTTTACAGTCGTACAATATGGAGTGTTCCTGTTAAAGTGTAACTAATGTGAAAAATGAATGCATAGCTAATCAAAGACCGTCTTATGCAACGAATGAGAACAAGGAATGGACTTGCCTGTCACAAGACAGCTACAAGAATGGGCTGCTGTTGTGTTCAGTAGAACGCATAAAGATGAATCAAGGAGCTGAATTTTGATCACATGACCATGGGGATGCTGCAATACAGCAGTGGCCAAAATTGTGGAATCCTTTTGGGAAAAGTGTATTTTTGAGGTTTGATGGCTAAGATTAACATCACTTTGTTTGGAGCAGTACCATAAAATTATATATCAATGGGAAGATAATTTAATCAAGAACAGTGGCTCTCAACCTTTTTAATGCCGCGACCCCCAACCGGTCATAAGTCAAGGACTACTCAACCGGTCGTAAGTCGAGAACTACTCAACTGGTGCAGCACCGTTTGCAGAATGGGACTTTTGGCGGGCTCAGCAGGGCAGAGACAGCCTGGACAATTCCTATTGGCTTTTGAAAGCCAATAGAATTAGACTCTATTCAAAAGAGTCTATTATATTGGCTTTCAAAAGCCAATAGAATAAAAGGGAGTAGCACAGCTAAGGAAAAGGGGAAAAAAATGGCAGACTGTGTTGTTTGGCGACCCCCGTGAAATGGTCGTTCGACCCCAAATGGGGTCCCAACCCACAGGTTGAGAACCACTGATCAAGAATGGTATGAAACAAAGTTTGTTCAACTATCTGTACTGTAGTCCATGAAAGGTTATAGCCAAATAACCAGAAAAAGGAAGCACCACTTGCTTAGGTTGATCAGATTTGAAGGGAAAGGCTTCTTTCTCATGCTCACCTTCCTGCACCTTTTCATGAAGAATTTCCCTTTTCTTCTCTTAACAGCCCCAATCGGCATGGCCGTTCTTCCAGCAGTCTGTCAAAAAGAAAAAAAATAAAACATCAACAGTTTTCCAGGTCTGATGGAAGACAATGTACTTGTGTGGGCCAGAGTGCTGGGCACTGCCAATCAAATTGCTCCAAAATAAATACAGTAGTGGCCAAAATTGTGGAAACCTTTTGGGAAAAGTGTACAGTAGAGAAATACCACCTTTGGTTAAGTTTCCACCCATTTTTCTTCTCATTTCTTTATAATTGTAGCCTTGTTCACTTAATAAGACTATTTTACATCACTTTCTAGGCAACCGGTTAACTCTTTGTATCGTTACTTTAACTTTATTACGTTTTACAAGCTCACGAAATGAAAGAACACCAAAAAACCCAACCAACTTGATGGCGATCGCATAACATACCGACCAATGTCCTCCTCTCAGCTTCAATACGTGACATCGATAACTGAACCCTACTGGGTTCTGATTGGCTCATGGCCAAAACAAGAGGACACCCGATTGGCTCTCTAAACACTCGTGCTCATTGACTACAATCAGATGAAGGAAAGCTCCCTGAGATCAACCTAAGCGAGTTGTGCTTCCTTTTTCTGGTTCTTTGGCTATAACGTTTCATACAATACAGTCAAACTCAATTTCATTGAGGGCCACATCAGCATTGCGGTTGCCCTTGGGAGGCCAGGTGAGTGTGGCCAGGGTGGTGTGGCCTATTGGGTGGGCGTGGATGAAGTGGGTGTGACCTATTGGGTGGGCATGGCCAGCTCTACATTGTTCACGTCAAGGGTGCCTGTGGGGGCCTGGGCAGGAGTGGGACAGATCTGGGGATCTCTGGCAGAAGGGTGTGGGACAAGGGCAAGCGCCAAGGCATGGTCCATTTCTTCATTCCTCAAAAAGGGTGACACCTCCCCAGCATGCACCCAAGGGATGGGGCTGACACAGCAGGGGCTGGTTCCTCGCCGTTTCCAGACGGACTTGTGGAGCTGAATGCGTTTCAGCATAGATGGCCACCACAAAATTGTACATTGGCTCCCAGCCGGACTGGGCCAGGGCCAAGGCAGAGGGGGCCGTTCCCTCACTGTTTCCAGGTTGGGCCACATGAAACCACTTCGCGGGCCGCATCCGGCCCCCGGGCCTTGTGTTTGACATGTCTGCAGTACCGATAATTGAACAAACTTTGTTGCATTACATTCTTGATTAAATTATCTTTCCACTCTGATATATAATTTTATAGTACTACTCCCCCAAAAAGAGTGGTGTTATTAGCCATCAAACCTCAAAAATTACACTTTTCCCAAAAGGTTTCCACAATTTTGGCTACTGCTGTAGAACAAGCAGTGGCGCTTTGCTAAGATATGCATTTCCCAGTCCAGTGTGGATTTTCTCCTAATGGCTGTTGGTTAAAAGTGCTAGCAATTCTGGGAGTCCCTTTGCAACGCAGGCGCGATCCCGCTAAACTGCAGAAGATTATACAAGGGCAGCAAAACACAGCCCACAAATGATGTGGTTGAACAAACGATGGGGGGAAGAGAGACTTGTCTTGCTGGCTTATTCTTAATTGTCGATAATGGGCCTGCCATATTTCTGCTCCAAAAAGGGATTCCAAAGTTTTGAGAGGGTTGTAGCGCAGGATACAAAGGCCGGTGCAAGAGACAAAAGGTCTCTTTGTAAGGATGTAGGATTCAGGCCATAAACTTCGGCTCTTCTGCCTGTGAATAGCAGCACAAAGGTTTTGGAGTTTAGCTATTTACAAGACATAAATGCGTGCCCAATTACGTCCCTTCTGAGAGGCCTTTTCTGGAAACCCTGAGGTCAACCCGGATTTCTGCTCCTAAAAATTTGACTGTCATTTGCGTTTCTCTGCAACGCATTTATTTGCCTGGCACTTGCTCTGTTGGTGAAGATCAAGGGTTTTTTTGTTTTTTTTTTGCAAGGCAGGAGGGTGAACTTTTTTTGGGAGGGGGGGGGGAAATCTGTGTGTTTTTGTCTTTTATTCCACTCTGTGAGTTAAGGTTGTTTCTTTGGTTTTTATTTTCAGTAATTTTCAGATTCAGTCACAGTTTTCGTTCCATGCGGTACTGACCTTGTGAACTCTAAAGCTTCCTCCTTCCGTGATGTATTCAAGATGGACAGTATTTAATATTTATATGTTATTTATATGTAAGGGTGTAGGTCTATACATATGTTGTATATAGTATGTTTAAATGTGTTATGTATGTATCTACCCTATCTATCTAACCTGTCTATCTTGTCTGTCTGTCTGTCTACCCTATCTACCCTACCTATCTTATCTATTTATCTGTTTATCTATCTATCTATCTATCTGTGTCTGTCTGCCTGTCCAGCCTATCTATCTATCTATCTATCTATCTATCTATCTATCTATCTATCTATCTATCTATCTATCTTCTACCCTATCTGCCTATCTACCTACCCTATCTACCTATCATCTATCTTCTACCCTATCTGCCTATCTACCTATCCTATCTGTCTGTCTACCCTATCTTATCTATCTATCTATCTATCTATCTATCTATCTATCTATCTATCTATCTATCTATCTATCTACCTACCTACCTACCTACCTACCTACCTACCTACCTTGCAAACCACTAGGAGCTGAGCTGAATAGCACAATACTGCCAAACAAATATTTATGACTTGTTAGTTTCCGACTCAAAGGTAATAAAATGGTAAAAAATCTAGTTGCTCTTTTGATTGTGGAGCAGAATATGTCCGTGGTCAAGGAACAGAAATGCCGATTCAAGAGACCAGCAGTGAAGTGCGGTTCTATATTAAAATGTAAAGGCGAGTGAAACAATTCTCCCACGTTCCTACTATCTTTAAAACGAAGCCACCCAATTCTCAGCCTATCTATTCAGGCAATCAGAGATGACACTGGGGCTTGCAGACAAGATTCAGAAGTTGGGGGGGAAGGGAGGGCACTTTCTCCTTTTAAGTCAAAATACCTACCCACCCCAGCAGGAAAGTGAGTAAGGAAAATCAAACATGTTTCCACTGCAGCAGAGTCGTAATATTTTACCAGGCAGGTGAAATTGCAGAGTTCCCTATCCCACCCACTGCAATACAGGTAATCCTCACAACTGAGTCCAAAATTTGGGTTGCTTCGCTGCAATTGTGAAGTTAGTTAACACAGCTGTTAAGTGAATCGGCTTCCCCACTGAGTTTGCTTGTCGGAAAGTCGCAAAAAAAAAAGGGGGGGATCACGTGAATCCAGGGCACTGCCATCGTCGTAAGTACGAGTCGGTTGCCAAACATCCGAATCCTGATCGCCTGACCCTGGGGATGCTGCCACGGCCGTGTCAACTTTTTTCCAGTGTCGTCGTAAATGCTAACGGTCACTAAATGAACTGCTGTAAGTCGAGGACTACCTGTATGTCTCCGCATGTGTTTCTTAAAACTGGGAATTCTTTTACTGTTGCTTGTCACCCGCTCAGAAGGAAAACGCTGGGGGACGTGGCTCTCCAGAAAAGCAAGGAAAACTTCAAAGTAAGCAAAAAAAAAAAAAAAAAAAAGTACTCGTAGAGGAGAAAATTCTTGACTGATTTTGCAATGGTGCAGATCTGAGAGTTCAGCTCCGCAGGGAGGGGGGGAGGTCCTCCTATCTTTGATCTCCGCTCTGTGGCATTGTGGAATCGTGCCAGCCTCATTCACGAGACCAAATGTGAAATACTAAACGGGGATGAAAAAAAATACTAAATGGAAGGCGCAAAGGGCAACAGGTACATGCCCTCAGCTTATGCCCCAGCCCCTACGTGATCATACGCTGCAGAGTACAAACTATGCCATGACCCTGGCAGCTGATCTCTTCTGTTCATTCAGGACACCACGTGGAGGAAAGAAAGAAAGAAAGAAAGAAAAAAGAAAGAAAGAAAGAAAGAGGAAGGAAGGTAGGAAGAAAAAAGAAAAAGGAAGAAAAACAGAGAAAGAAAAAGAGGAAACAAAAGAAACAGAGAAAGAGGAAGGAAGGAAAGAAGGAAAAGAAAGATAAAGGAAGGAAGAAAAAGAGAGAGAGAGAGAAAGAAAGAAAGAAAGAAAGAAAGAAAGAGGAAACAAAAGAAACAGAGAAAGAGGAAGGAAGGAAGGAAGGAAGGGAAAGAAAGATAAAGGAAGGAAGAAAAAGAGAGAGAGAGAGAAAGAAAGAAAGAAAGAAAGAAAAAGGAAACAGAGAAAGAGGAAGGAAGGAAAAGAAAGAAAAAGGAAGAAAAACAGAGAGAAAGAAAGAGAAAGGAAATGAAAGAAACAGAGAAAGATGAATGAAGAGAAAGAAAAAAAAGAAAGAAAGAAAGAAAGAAAGAAAGCTTCTAGACCATGAGAATTTTAACTTTTGTACATTATTCTTGGATAGAAAAGCATTTGTGGTGCTTCAAGACTTGCAATAAGGACAACTATATGTGGTTGTGCTACTGCCTTATGTCTCTATGCAGTCTTATGTCATTAATGACACATGCCAAGTACAATGATAGCCTAAGTCAGTGATGGCGAACCTTTTAGAGACCGAGTGCCCAAACGGCAACCCAAAACTCACTTATCGCTGGGTGCCAGGTGGGTGTGGCCCATGGGTGGGCGTGGCGGTGGTGGTCATGGCAGATTGGGTGGGAGTGGCCAAGGTGGACGTGATCACCTTGATGTTGCTCGCGGGGAGGGACACCTTTGGGGGCCGGGCAGGGTTGGGGGAGATCCAGGGGGTCTCTGGCAGGTGGGGCGGTGGGCAGGCTTGTCCCGTGGGGTGAGGCGAGGCAAGGCGAGGCAGTGGGGGGTGCCATTGTCACAGGGCAAGGTGAGGCAGGGGCGGCTGTTGCCTGACACCATCGGCCCCCGCACACAGAGGCCAGCGAGCGCATGGGTGCTGGGATGCATCCGGCCATGTGGGGCCTCAGCGAGTTAGTGGGCGCCTGGTTGAAGAGGGACGGCTTATTTATTTGTGAGACTTATATACCGCTTTAAGTGCAAGCACTCTCTAAGCGGTGTACACCAGTAAGCAATGTATATATATATTTACATTGCCCCCAACAATCTGGGTCCTCATTTCACCTACCCCGGAAGGATGGAAGGCTGAGTCAACCTTGAGCCGGTGAGATTTGAACCGCCGACCTGCTGAACACAGTCAGCTAAAGTTGCTCTCTCGGGGGCATGGCGTGCGTGCCCACAGAGAGGGCTCTGAGTGCCACTTCTGGCACACGTGCCATGGGTTTGCCACCGCTGGCCTAAGTGGATTAGGGCTGATCTGCCATCTTTCCTCCATCTAACAAGAACGGAATGTAGGTTGACCTGCACACCTGTAGTAATCTAGGCCCCCTCTGAACGCTTGCTTTATTTCTAGTTTTGTTTTATTTTTATTGGTCTCTGGTTACGGGGCTTAAGAAATGCAACGTTTCATTCAGAGCCCAAAGAGCTTGCCTAATGAATTCTACTTATGGGGGACTTCAATCACAGCTCATGGGAAAAGGGACAGGAGGGTTAATTCTGGTTCATTGGGGACTGTTCCCCTTCCTTTTCAAAAAGTTGCCCTGTCAACAGAAGGCAGGAAGTGCACATGTCCCAGACCGAGACAAAGACAGCATGCAGTAAGTTGTCAGCAAGCATCCTTAAAGATCTCGGAACAACTGTTACTCCACCCTCAAAACGATTTGAAAGCCCACTTTTAAAATATTTGCATCAACCGAGAACACAGCACGGCACGTTTCAGGGGAGAAAAAAAAAATTCCCCTATTTTCTGCCCATTTACAGACTGGCGATGCAGACTGTCCACAGACACAGCCAAACAGGGAGTTACTCTCCTTATCTCTTGGGTATCTGATGCCAGCCATTTCTGCCTCGGGCGCTGTGCAAGCAACCTCAATGCAAGCAGATTGAAAGGGGAGGATTTTTTTTTTAAAAAAAAAACGGTCCAGCTTTAGAAATGCCACTTGACAGTTACATCATTTTTTGCAAGCCACGCTTTTTTTCTTAGGCTGGAAGGAGGGAGGGAGGAACTGCATCAGTACAGCTGTTACTTCACTGTGTGGCAGCTTTCTAGCATTTTGAAGGTCACCAGGGATACAGAGGGCTGAGAAAATATCTGCAGACCTCTCCTATCCAGGACGTAAACTGTTTCAACTTTGGCACGTTTTTGCATGCCAAAACGACGAGACACAAAGGCAGATTTTTCTCCCAGGCCCTCACTTTGCTAAACCTCTAATTCCCATGTCTTTTACGCCTACGGATATTTAGCCGTGTAGCAGGACTGTATTACTACTGCATTACCATCTTTCCTATTACTTACTCCTATTTGTATCTTACGACTATCCCCTTGTTGGTTGTATCTTATCATTTATCACTTTGTTGCTTGTACAGTAGTGGCCAAAATTGTGGAAACCTTTTGGGAAAAGTGTATTCTTGAGGTTTGATGGCTAATAACACTTTTTTTTTTTTTGGAGTACTACCATAAAATTATATATCAATGAGTCCTTCCCAAGGACCTAGGATAGGCAGATGTTGTTAAAGATATCATCCCAAGTAAAGCTGCCTTTTGCAACTGACTCATTATCAGTATGGTTAGTCACACAGTCAGCCAGATGCTTATTCTGGATTTGACACATTTATCCAACTATTAAGTCCTTTCCTGGGTTAGGCAGATGTTGATGCTTAATAATATTAATGGTATTTATTGTTACAGCATCTAAGCTGTTCCAAGTTTTGCAATTCACTTCTACAATTGTCTGAGATAGTACAGGTTCTCCTGCTTGAGCAGGGGGCTGGACTAGAAGACCTCCAAGGTCCCTTCCAGTTCTATTCTATTCTAAATTGACTTTTTACAGTTAATATCATTATGGTTCATTGCAGTCAGCCAGATGTTTAGTCTTTCCTAAGGACCCGGGATAAGCAGAAGTTGTTAAAGGTATTGTCACAGAATGTAAGCTGTTTCGGTAAAGCTGCCTTTTGCAATTGATTGTTGGTAAGTTTGTCAATGACATTATTAAGATGGTTGGTCACACAGTCAGCTGTTTAGGCTGGGTTTGGCCTTTTTCCCCACCTAAGAAATCTTTTCCAAGAACCAGTGATAGGCAGATATTGTTATTTGATAGTGTTAAAATTATCGTCACAGGTCGTATGCAGTTCCAAGTAAAGCTGCCTTTCACAATTGACTAATGGTGAATTTGTCAATGACAATATTATCATTATGGTTCATCACAGACAGCAAGATGTTTAAACTGGATTTAGCTTTGTTTGTGCACCTTTCCAGCCCTTCCCAAGAATCTGGGATAGGCAGATAGAATGGAATGGAAAAGAATAGAAACTTTATTGCCACTTTAAAGGTACGCTAATTGGCACACATTAAAATGAAATTTCATTGCATTCAGCTCTCAAAAAATACCATTATGCATATATACACACATGACAGAAAGATATCACAGTCTAGTTCTAATGTATACATATAAATGGCGGGCGGGGGGGGGGGGAAGAATCCTGCACATTTACAAGTGGATGGCATAAGGAACAAAGCTGTTACAGAATCTAATAGTTCTGCTATAAATACTTTGAAACCTCCTCCCAGAGGGGAACAAGAGAAACAGATCGTGTATGGCAGTGGTTCTCAACCTATGGGTTGGGACCCCATTTGGGGTCCAACGACCATTTCATGGGGGTCGCCAAACAACGCAGTCCGCCATTTTTTTCCCCCTTTTCCTTAGCTGCGCTACTCCCTTTTATTCTATTGGCTTTTGAAAGCCAATAGAATAGACTCTGTTGAATAGAGTCTAATTCTGTTGGCTTTCAAAAGCCAATAGGAATTGTCCAGGCTGTCTCTGCCCTGCTGAGCCCTCCAAAAGTCCCATTCTGCAAATAGTGCTGCACCAGTTGAGTAGTCCTCGACTTACGACCGGTTGAGTAGTCCTCAACTTACGACCGGTTGGGGGTCGCGGCATTAAAAAGGTTGAGAACCACTGGTGTATGGGGTCTTTAACAATGCTTTGAACTCTAAGCACATAGAGCTTATAAGCAGTGCCCTGAATAATGGGGAAGCGGGCTATAATCTTCTCAGCTGCCCTTACCACTCTCTTTATGGACCTTCTATCTGAGGCTCTGCTACCACAAAACCAAACAGTGATGCAGTTTGTTAAAACGCTCTCCATCGTGCCTCCGTTAAAAGTGGCCAGGATGGAAGGAGAAAGATGTGTTCTCCTCATCCGATGCAAGAAATGCAAACGCTGGTTTGCACACTTCACTAAAGAGACCAAGTTAGATTGTCAGCTATTTAATACTGTTGACCACCTCGACACTGCAGCCTTGATACAAAGTGGAGTATGACTTATGCCGTCTCTTTCTAAAATCAACAACGATCTCCTTTGTTTTATTAACATTCAAAACCAGTCCACCAAGGCTTTTACTTCCTCCCTATAAGATGTTGTTATTTGATGTGTTATCACAGGTTATAAGCTGTTTCCAAGTAAAGCTGACTTTTGCAATTGACTAATGGCAAATTTGTCAATGACAATATTATCTTTATAGTTCATCACACCAGTTGGCCAGATTTTTAGACTGGATCGACCAATTCTGTCCACTTATCAAGTCCTTCCCAAGATGTGAACATTTGATGGTGTTAAAAGGATGTAAACTGTTTTAAGTAAAGCTGCTTTTTGCAATTGACGGATGGGGACTCTGTCAATACCAATTTTATTATTGTGGTCGGTTACGCAGTCAGCCAGATGTTCAGACTGGATTTGGCATTTTTATCCACTAATAGACCTTCCCAAGGATCTGGGCAGGCAGATGTTGTTCTTTGATGGGAATAAACCCATCCTTGTGGAATGTAAGCTGTCCCAAGTCAATTTGCCCCTTTGCAATAGACCAGGGGTGGCAAACCTATGGCACGCATGCCAGAGGTGGCACGCAGAGCCCTCTGTATGGGCACGTGTGCCGTCCTCCCAGCCCCACCTCCCCACACAGCACCCTCACTAGCAGCCCCCTCGGAGGAGAGTGGCCCCCGGGCGCGGCCCATGAGGAGCAGCACAGCCAAGGACATGGCAGCTGGGCTGCAGGGACAAGACTCCACCCTTGCGCCCCATCGCGCGCAGATGATGCTGCGGGGCATGGGCAGAGGGCATGGCCACCATGGCAGTGCAAGGCCGCCAGGGCGATCTGCGGCGGGCTGTGGAGGCAGTAGGTGGGCCTGGGGGGGGGGCAGAGCGGGTTGCTGGGGTGGTTTTTGGGCACTCAGTGTCTAAAAGGTTCGCCATCACTGCAATAGGCTGACAGTGATTTAATCTATGCTGAATTATCTCCACTATTATAGCTTCACATCATTTATACATACACATATACATATACACATATGTATATACATACATATACACACACACATACATATGTATATACAAACATATTTAGATTTATATTTTTTAAATATGCTGTAAAACTATAATATACACACACACAAGTACAAAACACTTTCTCTCACACACATATATATATACACATATACACACATACATATATACATACACACACACAATTTATATTTATAGATTTTTAAAAATGCTGTAAAACTATTATATATATACATATATACACACACAGAAGCACAAGAGACACTCTCTCTCTCTCTCTCTCACACACACACACACATATATATACACATATACATATACACACATACATATACACACACACACACAATTTAGATTTATATATTTTTAAAAATGCTGTAAAACTATTATATATACATATATACACACAGAGAGAAGCACAAGAGACACTTTCTCACACACATATATATATATATACATACACACACACACACACACACATATATATATATATATACACATATATACACACACATATTTCGATTTATATATTTTTAAAAATGCTGTAAAACTATAAAATAGATATATAGAAACACACACAAGCACAAAGCACAGATACACTCTCTCTCTCTCTCTCTATCAACACACACACACATAAACGCACACCATTCAAACGGAAGAGAGCCTCCCGCGCTCCACTCACCCGCCACCGGCGCCGCCATCTTAGCCGGCCTGATCCCAGCCGCGGGAAAGGTGGGCGGGGCGGAGCGGCGAGCCAACGGCGAGGCGCGCCGAGCGGCGGGGCGGGCCCTTCCGGCGCTTTGCCGTGGCGCCGGCGCGCTCGGCGCCTGCGCAGAGGCCGGCGGGGCGGGGGCGCGCTCCCGCCCGCCCCTGCGGGCCCCTTTAAAGGCAGCGGCGGCGGCCCGGACGGGCGTCCCCGTCGCCGCCTCAGGAGCGCCGCCATCATGTACCGCCGCCTGGGAGAGCTGCTGGCGCCCGCCCGCGCCGCCGCCTCGGCCTGCCCTCCCGTCGCTGCGGCGGAGCCCTGCGCGGCCTCGCTGCTGCTGCCGGCCGGGGAGTCCCGGCGTCGCTACAGCCAGGCGGTGGGCCGCGAGGAGGCCTCCGAGGACGACCCGAACTTCTTCCGCATGGTGGAGGGCTTCTTCGACCGCGGCGCCGGCATCGTGGAGGACCAGCTGGTGTCCGGGCTGCGCACCCGCGAGAGCGCCGAGGAGAAGCGGCACCGCGTCCGCGGCATCCTGCGCATCATCAAGCCCTGCAACCACGTGCTCAGCGTCTCCTTCCCCATCAAGCGCGACAACGGCGAGTGGGAAGTGGTGGAGGGCTACCGCGCCCAGCACAGCCAGCATCGCACGCCCTGCAAGGGAGGTGAGAGGCGGCGCCTTCACACGTGCGCCCTCGCCGCCGACACGCGTCTTCTGCGGAGGCCACGCCCCCTGCCTCCCCGCGCCACGGCCCTTGGCCCGCTGGCCTCCCCCCCCCGGGGCCGCCTTCCAATGGCACGGCCTCCCTCCCAGACGCGTGTCTTGGGCCACGGCGCTGCTCGTCTGAACGCAAAACACGGGGAGGGTTTCAGACGCGCCGAGGAATTTCCACCGCTCCCTCTCTGGGGTGCTGCTTCTTCGGCTCTTCGTGATCTCAGGCTGCTCGTTTTGCGTTGCATGCCAGAAAAGGCTGCTCGTTTTGTGTTGCATGCCAGAAAAGGTTGCATAGCCCAATGCACAAGCGGGGGGATGTGTTTATTTGTGTGTGTGTGTGTGTCGTGCTTTTGCTGGGGGGGGGAGTATTCAGTGGATTGCATTGATCTCGCCTAATAACTGCACAAGTCTCTTGCAGAGCGGTTTTTTGCTAAGGTTGCCAGCAGCCCTAAAAATGCAAATATATCGTACAAACATAATATAGGATATAAAACGTTCTCCATTGTCATTTTGCTGCAGTGTGTGTGTGTGTGTGTGTGAAAGGCCTGCCGGAAGTGACTTTCCTTCTCCCTTTAGGAATCTGCCCCCACACCCTTAATGAATCTTTAAGGTGCAACTGGCTATTTTGTTTTTAATGCAAAGATGGTATTCTGTTTATTTACCTTCCCGCTCTGACCATCTATCTCCCTTTTCCAGGCCTGCCGAGATGTGTGGATGGTGTGATTGCCTTGCACCAGTGTTAACTGCTGGTTACAAATGGGGGAAAAAAAATCTCTTCCCAAAGTTGGCCCTGCTGAAATAATTAACAAGCCCGTATACGTGGCAAGACTCCTTGCAACCTTTGCTTAGCATGGCCTCCTAATAAACTTTTTTATTCTCTTGCGGAATCGTGCGTGCATTTTTCAGTTATGAGAAAATTGGTACCAGTGTGGGAGACCAACAGGGGAGCGATTCGTGTCCTATCTGCATTTACGACTTTGCTGCCTTGCTTGCTTACTTACATAAAGAAAAACTTTCAAGTTTGTTTTTGTGATTTTTTTTTCAAGAGGGAAGTGCCAATTTGCTTTGTAGAGACTGTTCTTCTCTTTCCCGGTTCTTGCACAGATGCATTTCCTGTGATTCTTGCTTATAGTATCCTGGTTAGTCTTTTTAAAGACTTAGGCACCCCCTCTTCAGCAGAAAAAAATGGGAGATCATGAGCCTTAAGTATATAGGGAAGTTACTGTAAGAATGAACCAGGCAACTCAAGAACTTTATAGCAATTTCCCTTACTTGCTTCATGCCAGGATATATCCTAGGGTGAGAGGGGAAATTAAAGCCTTAATGCTTAAACAGAATGGCTTCTTCTAGCTTGGCTGTTTATTGTATGACTAAACAGTAAACAAGACACAGTAACAAGATTGCCTCTGATTCTATGCATTTTAGTACTGCTTTTTGTTTTGAAACGCCCCACCCTTAAAGGAGGTGAAAGTAAGCTGAGAATTGGCAACATTCACCCCTGCAGGCTACAGAGAACATCTCTGGATACTGTGTAAGATTCATCATACCCATGTTTGTTAGACCTGCATCCCAGGTTTTCCGTAAGAGCTCAAAGGTGTATCTTATCTTCCTCCACTTCTCCGAAACAGCTCTGTAAGTTTGCACCGGGAAGGAGTGAAGGGGCACAGTCACACCCTGGGTTTGTGTGGCCAAGAGAGTTTGTCCCAGATCCTAATTTGGTATCTGAAGCGCTAGATTTGCTGGGAACGTTGCAGTTAAAATGAATTGGAAAGTTCACCCGGACATTTTATCTTTTTTTTGTGTGTAGTCATTGACTTGTTCATGTAGTGTATCCGGCAGTTGATGGTTGGTTAAGCACACTGGCCAGAATGATGATTGGTTAAGCACAAGAATGGTAAGACTTACAAAACAGCCTTTCCAGAGTGTTACCTGATTCTTTGGCTAAGAAAACCTGCACCAAAGGTTAGAAAGGTGCATTTTTATATAAGGGAGACATACGTGTCCTCTGGAGGAGATAGGTTTCTCCCCCTTTCTTCCCTGCTTTTAGTCCCCTGTGTGATAAACAAGCTTTCTGCAAGTTCTGACAATGTCCTGACAGTCCGTAGTCCATTCTTGCTTGAGTTGCATGAGAAAACTTTTCTGTGGAGTTTGCGAGAACTTTACCATTCCATAGGTTTGAAGCAGGCTAGGTTGCCCAGAGTCCAGTTAATGGCTGGAAATTGTCTTTTGGATGCTATGTTTTTGTTCAGTGGCCTGATCTTCAGAGAACAACTCAAGAGATTTATAGCCACATACCGAAATATGTGTTTGATTAGATCAGTGGTTCTCAACCTGTGGGTCGGGACCCCATTTGGGGTCAAATGACCATTTCACGGGGGTCGCCAAACAACGCAGTCCGCCATTTTTTCCCCCTTTTCCTTAGCTGTGCTACTCCCTTTTATTCTATTGGCTTTTGAAAGCCAATCGAATAGACTCTCTTGAATAGAGTCTAATTCTATTGGCTTTCAAAAGCCAATAGGAATTGTCCAGGCTGTCTCTGCCCTGCTGAGCCCGCCAAAAGTCCCATTCTGCAAACGGTGCTGCACCAGTTGAGTAGTCCTCGACTTACGACCGGTTGGGGGGGTCGCAGCATTAAAAAGGTTGAGAACCACTGGATTAGATCATGAATTTTACAAAAGAAATGCTGAAAACTCTTTGTTGAAGGTTTCAGAGGTGAAGTTTATGTGGCTGGGAAATAAAAGTCTCTCTTGGAACTCTTCAAATATGGGTGGTCCCAGTTCAGCCTGTCCAGATTAGTTTTGATAGAAGATTTAAAAATTCCATTGCGGCTACTGAAGGATGCTGAATAAAATAATTGTTTTGATGCGGACATTTTGTTCTTTGATGTCTACATAGAGTGAAGATAACTTTGGAATCACCCAAGACAGAGGCAATATTTTCTTGTAGTTTCTTCCATCCGGATTGGTTTCTGCGTGTGCTCCGTTGTAGCAATAATCTTGAAATAACTACTGCCACATAATACAATTTCTCCAAAGTTGCTGAGTCTGTGTCCCAGTGTCATTCTTTAAGAACCGTAATATTTTCTCCCAACCTACGTAGGAAACCAAAATCCATTTAATGTTGATCTCCAAATCCTTCTAACAAAAGGAAAAGTCTCTCTTGAAGGAGCTCCAGTGAATTGGATTGGCTTCTTTGAGTTCTCCACTGCTGGTAAACAGCAGCAGCTTCCAAGAACCCCGCAGATATTCTCCATTTTAGTGTGGTGAACTGCATGACTCTCCCATAACACTCTCAAAGCAGCTTTAGAGTGTTTGAACTATTCGCTTGTGAATGTTTTCTACGAAGAGGGGAACATTGGGGAAGATAGTAGATTCATAGCATGGATGACATGACATGCCTATGGTCCCTGCCAATAACAAAGCTGCTGCGTTTGCACTAGGTGGAAATGTTTGGAAGGCACAAGCAATCCAGGAGAAAAATAGACCCGCTGTCAAGTGGAAGGGAAATCCAAAGATCCAGGCAATTCAAATGGGGATAAAGATTTATTGCAAGCTTACCGCTCTATACAAGTATCTGAACTACCAACTGTCAAAGCAAATAGGCGGTAGATAAGAGTCAAAGGAATTCAAGGTAGGCTGGGCTTAGATCTCTTGTGGGCATGAAGGGACTCTGAGATTGATGACGCATTTGACCCCTCCTCCCTCAGGCTCAGCCTGGTTATCTCCTACACCTGCCGTATATTCTGGCGTATAACGCGACCTGGCGTATAAGATGCCCCCCATCTTCGGCGCCGAGTCGCATGCCTAGAAAGTCGTCTTATAGGCCAGAAACTACCGTAATTTCTGGCATATAAGACGACTCGGTGTATAAGATGACACCCGACTTCGGCGCCGATTTTAATGCTTGCGAAAGTCGTCTTATACGCCGGGAAGTATGGTACTTGCTTTTTGTGGATTTGCTCCAATTTCCTTTCCATTTCCTTAACACCCTCCCTTTTTCTGTATTTAATTTGTTAACTGCTTTATTTTTGCCTTTTTAATAAGGCATGTTGATAATTGCAAATTAGGATAAGGTAGTCTTCCTTCTCTCAAACATTAAAACTCTTTTGGCATATAGTCCAAGAGTTTGAAAATAGTGAGCCCCTTCTAATACGTCTAATATGACCATCTCTCATGCTTTGGGTTTTGGCACAGTATTTTGGGGGGGGTATTGCTGAATTATTCCTTGACAGGTAAAATATAAAATAAAAATTATTGTATCTTAAAAGATTGATCACCTGTAATAAAATTTAAAGCTTGAATCTCTGGCGGTCTTTTAAAATAAATCCATTGGGGTATTGAACTGATTCAAATTGCTGGTACACACACATCATCCCTGTCTTTAGAAGCGGTACATATTGTAGTGTTGAAAAACCTTAAACATAATTGAGGTTTCCAGTCAAGAATTCTTGACTACCATACTTTCTGACTTTTGGAAAAATGTCTTGTAAATTACTTCAAGAAGCAGGAATCTATTTCCATTGATAATAACTTATGCCCTAATTTTTTGAGAATTCAGATACACGTTCTTTAAACCCTTACAGTCGGGGTAAATAAAAACTGGCATGGCATGTTTACATTTAGCAAGAAGCAAAAACAAGTATTCAAAGTGTAAATATAGAATAAATAAAATAAAAAGTAAACTGCTGTTTGCCTTTTGTAACATCTGCATTCTGTATCAATGATTTTATTCTGTTTGTATGGTATTGTGATTTTATTTGGCATGTTGATCATCATATTTGTATGATGATTTTAATGTTGTTATATGATGTAAGCCAGCCAGAGTCGCTTTGAAACGAGATGGGTGGAAATAAATTTTGTAATAAATACAATAAAATATAGACATTGTCGTATTGAAAAAAGTTTTATTTGAGAACCCTTGTTCTCAAAGAAGACCTTTGCAACATAGCAA